GAGAGAAAACGACAGCAGCTTGCAGTCACTGATGTACTGAAAAACACCGATGTTGTGCTGACAACTTTGACTGGCGCATCTTCGAAAAAGCTAAACGGAATTACATTTGATTTGGTTGTTATTGATGAAGCTGCTCAGGCACTTGAGGTGGCATGCTGGATAGCCTTGTTGAAAGTAAGTATAAGATTGAAGCACAAATCAAAGTTTGTGATGTGTTCTGTTGTGATGTAATTTGAATCTGTTGAGAGCATCGCAAATATTGCCCACTCGGTAAATGTTATGACATTTATGAAGTCATTTTTTAACATAAATTCACTTAAAGCATCCTGCTACTGGTAGTTATTTAGACATGAACTGCTTGATAGGCAATGCCATTAGCTAAGTGATTGCCTTTATGTTTAGTATAAATCAGCATGCACAATAGTGTGGTTGTAATAATAATGTAGTACTGTAGTTTCAGTGATTGTCATTATGATTTGGAGCTTCTTAATCTACTTTCTTGGCATTCAGGGGCCAAGATGTATTCTTGCTGGTGACCATCTTCAACTTCCTCCAACAATTCAAAGTGTTGAGGCTGAAAAGAAGGGGATGGGAAAGACACTCTTTGAACGCCTTACTGAAGCTTATGGAGAGGAAATCACATCCATGCTCACTGTCCAGTACAGAATGCACGAGCACATTATGAGCTGGTCGTCTAAAGAACTTTACAATAATAAGGTGTGAATTTACCCTATGTTATTATGCTACCAGTTCCGTCCTGGTTTTGATTGTTTTTCTGTCATTTTCCACATCTTATTGTTCCCTTGTTTCTTCTCAGATCAAAGCACATTCTAGTGTTGCTGGGCATATGCTCTATGATCTTGAAGAAGTCACTAGATCTTCTTCAACAGAACCAACTATTATACTCATTGACACTACAGGGTGATTGTTATCTGATGTTTCTCGCTGTTTCGAACACTATTGTAATTATTTGTTGAATTGTTCATACATAGAGATTTCATTATTTTCTTTTTTTTCCTTTTTGCTCTGTATGCCTTGCAAATAGTATTGCTAGGTACCTTTACAAAGAAAATAGGATTACTATTTTCTCTGTAGAAATATACTTTGTATTCGAAGAAGATAATTAGGATGCGGTGTGGCCATCCTTTTGTTGTTTGAAAAAGATGCTTTTTCCCTAAGAGATGAACCCTTTGGATGCTTTTCACATAATGTTTCTAACATTTTCAAATACTCTTAGGTGTGATATGGAAGAAGTAAAGGACGAAGAGGAGAGCACCATGAACGAGGGCGAGGCAGCAGTATCCATTGCCCATGCCAAGTTGCTTGTTGAGAGTGGCGTTAATGCTTCTGATATTGGAATAATTACTCCTTACTCTGCACAGGTTTTTGGTCCCTTAGTCACCCTATGCATATTCAAGATAATATTCAAGTTAATAGCTAATTTTACCAGTCATCCACTGATGCCTGCAGTACATGATCTTCTGGTTAATAACCATGCTTTATACTTCTCTGTCCTATCGTCATGACCTAATATATGTATGCATGTTACACGGCCTTTTGGGGGGCATTGTTAAGGTTCAATATATAAGATGCCTATCTACAGTATATCTTTTTTTTTTCTCTCTCATTGACACCATTGTTGGTGGTTGGCAGATTTTACATGGCCGATGGCCTCAGTCTTTTACTTGTTTTATTACATTGTAAACATTTTCTTGCAACTCTCACCTTTTAATTCATCTGGCTGTTATGAATTTATGGTGGCTTCTTGAGGGCTTCACCTAGTTCTGAAGGCCTGAATTATTGAATGGTTTAATATCATAGGTAACCTGCTTGAAGATGATGAGAAACAAAGATGCTAAATTGAAAGATTTAGAGATATCGACAGTTGATGGGTTTCAAGGCCGGGAGAAAGAAGCCATCATCATTTCAATGGTCCGGTCTAACTCAAAGAAAGAGGTAAAATCCCTCCTGAGAACCCATTAGATGAAAATTTGCTATTCTTATATTGAGTTGTACATATACAGGAATATAGACTCTGATGCATATACAATGTTACATGGTATATCCAGAAAAACAGGATTTAGGTACACTTGTTTTTATTATTTAAAAATGTAGAAAAAATTGGTCCACGGACTATAAGCATTGCTAGCATGGTCTTTTTTTTACGCAAGATGTTCTGCAGACTTTTTGTTTGTGATTCTACAGTTCGTAATTTTTGTCATGAGAATGAATGAAATCTACTCGTGAAAAAATGGTAACCTGACTTAACAACCGAAATGAGATGTTCCTACTTCCTAGTTATGTTTTGATCATATAAGGTGGGAAACTTCACCTCATAATCCAAACACAATAGTTGTCTTTGTCTCCGGGTTTTCTGTAGCCATTGCTGAGTAAACCTTGTGGCCTTTGGTTCTTTTAGGTGGGTTTCTTGAGTGATCACAGGCGGATGAACGTGGCGGTGACACGAGCCAGGAGGCAGTGCTGTCTGGTGTGTGACGCGGAGACCGTGAGCAACGACAGGTTCCTGAAACGCTTGGTCGAATACTTCGAGGAGAACGGGGAATACTTGAGTGCTTCAGAATACCAGAGCAGCTGACTGGCGTCAATCAAATCAAATTCAACTATTCTAGTGGTTCGTGCAAGTGATGCTTTTCCAGCCTTGCATAGTCTGCCGTGATGGCATCTGGCATATCCGTGGAACGACTAGCAAGTGGATACGATCTGCATGGAGATTGGAGTCTTGGAGAGCACAATATGAAGCTATGGTTCCTACATATCTTTGCTTTTTTTCCCTTGTGAATGAACACATAAATGATGTTTTGTTCTGCCGTTGCCAATGGCATGGGAATGAAATCTTACAAAAGCAAGAGTGTAGTGGAGAATGTGCTGTCGAATAGTGTGCTTTGTTTTCTGGGCCTTTTGGTCCCGGTGACGCACTGACGCGACTCCTGCTACGTGGGGTGTGGAGTGTGAACTGTGCTTGTGGGAATATCCGCCACAATATGCTGATGCAACGCAAAGTGTAGCTGGAGTCCGGTGTCTGGTAGGAAAAGGACGGAGGAACACGTGGTGCTCGGCCATCTGTTTATCGTTTTGTCGGTTTACTCTAGGCTCTCCTATGTTTGAGGGGAGGGTGGGCTGCAATCTCTACAAAGTTCTGTGAACAACTACAACTGAGTTCATAGCACTGTTGTAAAAAAACAACTACAACTGATTAGTTCTAATAGAAAAACACTATTCCTGGCCAGAAATTTACGATCGTAAAAAAAAACTGAGTTCATAGCACCATCGGACCGACCTTTTCTCGTCTGTCTCGTCTGTACGTGAAGGTGAAGGTGCGAGTAAACGGAAGAATTGGTAGAAGAATGTCTTAAAAGCCCTATCTGATCAGCTAGAGGTCGTTAAAATCTTCAGTCTTTGTAGAACGTGTTCAAAGCCGAATTAGGGGCCGGGGGTGGGTTATGTGATTGTCACAATTTGGGTAAAGATTGTTAAAAAATGCTTCACAGAATTGGTAGAAGAATGTCTTAGAAGGCCCTATTTGATCGGCTAGAGATCGTTGAAAGCTGCCTTTTGTAGATCGTGTCAAAAGGGATGAATTACGTGATTGTCATATTTGGGTAGAGATTGTTAAAAAACTGCTTTTTCATAGGTTGTATGGATAGCTAAAGCTTTTAAAAGTCATAGTCTATGAGCTCGCGCTGATTCAAATATGATCTAAAGTTATGTATACCTCTTTTTTTTCTCCACTAAATTTTCATCCCTAACTCTCCACTAGTCCGTCCGTTCACTCCGCCGAGCATAAACGCTCTGTTCACTGAACTTATCCGCCCGGCTTATCAGCCATTGTACAGTTTTTTTCTCTCACAGCAAAACAACGTTAGCCGGCTTATCATCCGCAAAAACCATCAGCCGAAATGCCCGAAAAGAGACATCTGATTTTTACTATTTTACTAGGAATAGTAGTATACAATGAATTAAAGATAAGATTTCTATTTGGTTTGTTGTTTCATCCGTATAATCTGATCTCACGGCCTGTGCTCAGACGAATTATAGGGTGCCTCATATATCACAATATAAAGTCTGGTTCTATGGGTCTATTTAGATCCATAAGACTAACAATTAGCTGAATCATATCTAAAATCATATTTAAATCGGAACTCATAAGTCAGCTAATGTCTTATCTATTACCCAACTAAAAATTAATTATTAGTTAGTTTTTCCGGCTAACATAGTTAATAGTATCGTCAACTAATAAGTCAGCTAATGTCTTAGCTACCACCCAATTAACAATTAATTATTAGTCAAATTTTCTAGCTAACAAAGTTAATAGTTAACTTGGTGAGAGGATATGTTTAGATCCTTAGTAATAAGTTTGCTAATGTCTTAGCTTACCTACTATCTGGTTAACAATTAGTTCATACTCTCATTCGTTCCAAATTATAAGATGTTTTGGTTTTCTAGATACAATAATTTTTTGCTATACACTTAGATATACACTACACTAAAAGCGATGTATCTAGAAAAACCAAAACGTCTTAATTTAATACGGAGGAAGTAGTTGAGTTTTTCAGAGCTAATAGTTAATTAGATGGATCTGCCTAAGACTATAGACTTGTTTGGATGGACTAAACTCCATATTTTGGATGCCAAATTGAAGACCTAAATATTAACTAATTATGGTCTAACAAAAACTAATAGAGGCTAATTGATGTGTATAACTCATTAGAGAAAAATAAAATTTTAATCACTCGACGTTCAACCTATTATCAACTACGGACTAAACTTTAGCTTCGTGATCCAGGCCCTATATACCGGGTATAGGCTTGTGAAGGAATTGTGTTGTGATACGGCCCAACCGAAGTCCTTACGTCTAGCACAGCACGCCTGCTTTCCATTATACCCAGGAAGGCTGAAGCGAGAGGCCAGAATTGCTGCTGGGTGCTGGCCGTAGCGGGCGAACTCACCAAAATCACGGGCGCGAGAGATCGGAGCACGGCATGTCGGAGGAGCAGTTCCTCGTCGTGGCGGTGGAAGCCGCCAAGAGCGCCGGCGAGGTTCTCCTCCTGCAATCCCTGCCTTTTCTTGCCCTTCTTCTGGGCCCGTCTCCTCACTGGTTGCTGATTTCCTGAGCAGGTCATTCGCAAGGGATTTTACCAGACCAAGAACGTCGAGCACAAGGGCCAGGTGTCCTCTCCATCCCCTTCGCACTCATCCATCTGGTGATTTTGGTTCCCCGTGTCGGTGTTGATGCATGCACCACACCATTGCGTTGCGTCCCATCTATTGGATTGGGATTTGGTACTCACGGTGCTGCGCATTGCTCGCCGGTGGCAGGTGGATTTGGTGACGGAGACGGACAAGGCCTGCGAGGACCTAGTCTTCAACCACCTCCGGAAGCACTTCCCGGACCACAAGTTCATCGGGGAGGAGACGTCCGCGGCGCTCGGGGCCACGGCTGACCTCACTGACGACCCGACTTGGATCGTCGACCCCCTCGACGGGACCACTAATTTTGTCCATGGGTACAATGGCGTCCTACCCTGCACTGCACTTTTTTGTTCAAATCTGCCCTCTAATTATGTTTGCTCTTCTCATCCCAAGATTGTGCGGATCTCTTGCATTGCAGTTTCCCATTTGTATGCGTCTCGATTGGCCTCACCATTGGGAAAATTCCCACTGTCGGAGTCGTCTTCAACCCCATCATGAACGAGGTATTAACTGATTCAGCATCCAGCATAATGTTCACATATGTAGTGTTGCAATAAGTGGAAGGACGCTATATTATCTGTCCCCTAATTCTAACTGTCCTTTATATTTTGCCACTGAATTTTAGTCTAATCTCAAGCTGCTTGTTCCATTTAGCTTTTCACGGCGGTTCGTGGAAAAGGAGCTTTCCTGAATGGCTCTCCAATTAAAGGTATACCCTGATTTAGCAACAATCAATTGAAGCTACATGTTGCTCCCTGCGCACTTTCTCCCTCAAGTTGCTCGTGCTAGTTTGAATATGTGCATCTTTCTTATGCAGCATCATCTCAAGATGAGTTAGTGAAGGCTCTTCTGGTAACAGAGGTAAGTGGAGCTATCAAGAATTAACTTAAACCATGCAGTTTATACATTGCATCATATTTCTCAGGTCAAGTTTGTTTCACTAGAAGATGATAGCATACGCAGGAACTCTATTGCTGCTTCTTCCTCTTAAAATTTCAATGATCTCATCACAACAATCTAGTTTGAAAAGAACTACTACCAAATCAGTAGGAACTATAACCTAAACAATTGGACGCACAACCTGCTTTTGTTTCCTGAAATTCTTAGTCAAACATCCTTCTAAAAAATTGAATTAGGGGACAATTGGCCGAGTGCAAACATGTTACATGGATAAGACATGCATCATCATTGAAGAAAGTTATTTCTTTTATTCTCTTTTATTTCATCACCTGGCATACTTTTTTTATATTTTCACCTGGCATGCTTTATTTTGATTGCTGTGACTTGATTTTGGCTTGAAGGGCACTGCTCCCATGTAACTTCATGTAATGCATCTTCTAAACTGTGGATGACAATGTACATCCTAGAACCTCTTGTATGCTCCTTTTATTTTGTCTCCTGGCATTCTTGATACTTTGATAGCTGTGACTTGATTTTTGGCTTGAATGGCAAATGCTCCTGTGTAACTGCATGTAGTACATCTTCTTGACCGTGGATGGCAATTTACATCTTAGAACCTCTTACTCAAAAGAACCTACTGGAAATACTGAACTGATAATTATACTGATTGATCAGGTTGGAACCAAAAGAGACAAGGTCACTTTGGATGATACAACCAACAGAATCAACAAGCTACTATACAAGGTAAATTCTGTAAAGTAACATCAGTTGCCTCGAATATAAATACAGTTTAACGTATCAACATTCTTAACCGCAGTTCCTTTTTTCCAGATTCGATCCATACGGATGTGTGGCTCATTGGCTTTAAACATGTGTGGAGTTGCCTGTGGTAGACTTGATTTGTGTTATGAGATGGGGTTTGGTGGCCCCTGGTATGGTTTAACCAAATTAATAACAGTGGTTTGAACAAAAATTCAAAGTGCATATGTTCATCTCAAACTGCTAATTTTCCTCCAGGGATGTTGCTGCTGGAGCTGTAATTCTTCAGGAAGCCGGGGGCCTTGTTTTTGACCCGTAAGTCAGCGAGTTTGGCCAAGAAGCTTTTGTGACCACAATTTGATTGAGTGTCTCTGAATGTCTGTGACTTTATTTCTTCTGATTCTCAGAAGCGGTGGAGATTTTGATTTGATGTCGCAAAGAATGGCGGGATCAAACAGCTTGCTGAAGGATAAGTTCATCAAGGAACTGGGGGATACCAATTGAAACAAATGTTACCATTATTCCTGGAGCAGAATAAGACAATAAGATTGCCTTGCCGCATGGTGATTAACATATTGTTTGGGCAAATTTTTTCCATGTAATTCTACACAAGGAACACTGTCTTGCCGAACTATGTTGGATGCAAAACATTTTATTGGGTTTTGTGATTACATGGGAATGCATAGCTTGAAGCAACGGGCCCAACTTTATGGCAATATATCATATGTTTGGATGGAAGTGTTTTAGCCCAATTTCATGTGCTGGAAGGGGGAAAAAACTAATTCTGGAGGAGAACGTGTCAAATTGCTGTCTATATATGCATTTGTTGAAAATATGGTTGCTACGCTGCAAACAATATGCGGTGGCATATTTTAGGCAGTGGAGTGTTTTTTTTAGCAATACCACTCTCCAAACAGGATGTTAGACGCCAGCGACTCCCTCCGGATGGACACATGGCGTGATGTGCACCACAACTTTGGCTCCATCTCTTATTCTCATCTGGACACCGCTCGCTAACTCCGCCTTCTCCCACTGCGCCCTGACCTTGCACCGCTCACTCGCTCCTCGCTCTTGCGCTGTCGCGCCCCCCACCTGCGCCGCTCGCTCCTCTCCTCAGCCTGTCGCGCGACTCACCTGCACTTGCTCCTTGCTTTGGTCGTGCGTCGCGCCGCCCATTCCCTCTCGTAGCACGCACCGCCTGCTAGGCTGAGCCAAGGTCGGTGCTGGTGGGGCTTGCTAGTGGTGGTGCTTGCGCGTGCCACTGGTGCTGGGTGTTGGTGGTGTTCGTGCGCCGCCGTTCGCCGTTGGCTCCAACCCCGACGGCTGGAATTGACCGGCCCAGGCTTCCCCACCCCCATGTTGCAAATGTATGTTTTAAGTGTTTCAGTCTTTTCAAAGGTGTGTTGCAGTTGTATCTTATGGACGTTGCATATGTTGCAAGTGTTTCAAAGGTATGTTGCAAGCGTTTGTTCAAAAATATTTCATCTGTTCCAGATATATGTTGTAAGCGTTTTGATTTGGATGTTTGCATATGTTTCACACATATGTTACAATAACATGTTCCATATGTTTTATTTGTTTTAGATGTATGTTACAAGTGTTCTATGTGGATGTTGCACACGTTATTGTGACTATGTTGCAAGTGTATGTTCTAAATGTTTCATCTGTTTCAGTCGTATGTTGCAATTGTTCCATCCGAGTGTTGCAAAAGTAGATCTCAATGCAGGGCTGTTTAGCGAGGAAGAGAGAGCTAGTTCGGCAGCCATGGCGGCGTCGGCTGTAAGCTGGCAACAGCACTCCACCGGAGGACGCGCTAGCGCATGCGGACCCGCTCCCGTATGACATGCTGCCCCCGCTAGCACCGTTGAAGGTCCTGGAGCAGAAGGTTGTGGCACCTCCCTACGCGACGGAGATGCAGACCCTAGCTATGCAGGTGACGCGGGCGCAACAAGGTTGAGACCCCCTACGGGCGCTCTGTTATGTGTGGGACGGAACAGGTGTGGCGGAGCTACGTCCGGACACAGGCCTGGGACAGACGTCCCGACGCTAGTTATTCCTTTATCTATACCTAATACTAAATAGGCAAAATTTCTACCACTAATAATTTTTCATCCAACCTGACTCACCATTTAGATACGAAAAAATGTGTCCATGTTTTGTCCGTGAACCGTCCGTTGTTTTCAATGCTCCCGTCCACATGTCCCTTTCCTGTTTCTTTTTATTTTCCGTTTCCTCTTCCCATCATCGACTTTGTATGTGACTTTTTTCTTCTCTTTTTTATCTCCCACTTTTTCTTATAATAAACAAAAATAATTAATAATTAATATATTATGAGAGTCTCATATTTTTAACTTTCCAAAAAATGAGCTCACATCCTCCGTGTCCCGTATGTGAGTCCAGACTCTCGATCCATGCTCGTACAAGTAAGCATAACTCGCATTTCTTATCTTTTTTATCTCCCACTTTTTTCCTATAAATAAAATAATAAATAATAAATATATTATGAGTCTCCTATTGTTTTACTTTCCAAAATACGCTCACACCCTCCGTGTCACGTATGAGAGTCCGGACTGATGATTCATGCTCATACAAGTAACCACAACTCGCATTTAGCGACACACAGGCACAATTGCTAGCAAAATAAACAAAATCTATCAACAGTCTATGCTGGATCGGTGAGACACGCAAAATCTACGTGATACTGGCAATGTTTTTCTAAACGGTAAACGGTCTTTACACGGTCGCTCTTCGTTTAGCGTTTAGCTTGTTTACACGGTGTTTAAATGAAGTTAAACGGTCTAAACGGTTTTGTATTTAAAAAAAAATTACATACAATTATATATGTGCATGTAAAAAATCAAGTATTCTAGCATTTATACATATTTATCCGAGTAAAAATCAATTATTTTGGTATGTATATATATATTTATGCATATGAAAAGAACCAAATATAGATATTCATGCATGTCACATATTAAGTGTACACATTTATAAATATAATAAACTTAAGTATACAAATTTATCCATACAAAACTGAACTAGATTTACCTCGTGTTCGCCTAAACAGCCGTTTAAATAGCTGTTTATTTCCGTTCCGTTTAGGCCGTTTAGACCATTTTCCCCCGTTTTTTTGACCGTTTAATTTCCGTTTACCCCCTAAACAAAATAGTTTACCACCGTTTACTGGCCGTTTAATCCGTTTAGGCGAACACTGGATACTGGAGTAGGCGAGTACTTTATGGCCACATTTTTAGGTTTTATTATTTTCTTTTCTCGAGTATAGTTTGGTATGTTTTCTCGTGGTTTTTGTATTTTTATTTTTCCCAGCGCAAACTCTGACACTTGATGGGTCGTGTGTTTGCGCCCCGCCAAGAGGAAGAAGAGCCACCTGACGCCGGGGGTCATGGTTCCGGGAGAGAATTCACTGACAGACGGGTGTACAAGAAGGTTTGGGTTGGTGGTCACAACATGGCGGTGATGGTGGCTGAGACAACGTGGGCACTCGTGGGGGTGGTGGGAGATGGCAGTTTGCGCAGGAGGAAGAAGAGCCACCTGGCGCCGAGGGTCACGGTTCCAGGAGAGAATTCACTGACAGACGGGTGTACAAGAGGGTTTGGGTTGGTGGTCGCAACATGGCGATGATGGTGGGGGCAGCACCGGCAAGGAGGAAGAAGGATCATGCGGTTCCCAACCACGCGACCCTTCTCCCACGTACGGGCATATTTGCTAGTTTAACTAGAAGACCTCTCAAAACCAAACATGCCGACCTATATTAGCATGGATAGCACATCGATATTGGACTCCTGTTCTCATGCACAAACTCAGCGCTTCTGAAGGCTGCCTTCCAAACGTTGATCTCCTGACAGATTTGCCCATAAACTCCAAGGCTGCCTCGTAGAATATTCTTCATAAACTCCATGCGTTGTCGAATATTCTTCACAAAGGCAGTGGAGTGGAGTGCTTGTTCGCTTTGAGTTTGGCACCATAGCAATGGCCCAAAGTTATCTTGATGTGCCCCACACCCAAAATTTGATATTCGGATGCGATTTGGCAGTAGAGTGCCGCCATTAGGCCATTGGGGACGCAACAATGTGCCAATGTGCCGCCATTGGGCCAAATTTTTTATTTTTAGCCATTTTTCTGAATTTTTTTTCACAAATATGCCCCTAGATGTATGCTTTCAAAATCTGGATCCTTAGCTCGGTGCCATCGATGGTGGCGCCGAGGTTACACGTCTTGGCGCCATAGATTCTGGCACCTAGGGCGGGCCACGTTGGCGGCGTGGACGCTGACATGGCAGCCAGCTCGGCGTCGTGGATCTTAGCGCCAAGCTTGGTGCCGTGGTTATTGGCGCCGAGCTTGGCGCCAAAGATCCTGGCGCCGAGCTTGTGTTTTAACTTGGCGCCCAACCTTCCTGCCCAAGCCTTCTTCCTCTTCTTTCTCCTTCCTCTTGGGTTTTTTCTCTCCCCACGTCGCCCTACCTCACGAATCGGCATATTGGACCTTGGAAACTTTGATTTGATCCGTAGATCTTCGAGAGCAAGGTATCCTCGCTCCCTCCTAGTTTTTTTTTCAAATCGATTCGGTATATATTAGTCGGAATTTTCAACTTAAGAATCGTCATTACTTAGGGTTTCATGCAATTTTAATATTTATATTATACAACCGTAGGATGCCAAGGCGTGGAAAAGCTACCAAACCAAGGTAACCTCAGCGCACGTTGTAATGATATGGGTTCATTGTTGTGAATCAAATGGGAAACCCTAGGTGTAGGGTTTAATGTTAATTGCTTTCGGTTCTTAGAACAAAAATGCCTAAATTATAGTTATGGCCGGATGACCGGAAATGCCTTCGACCCATTGCCTCTGCCTAGTGGTGTTCCAGTGCCCATGTGCTTTTGCGGCGATTCTTGCAAGGTAGCCAAGTCCGATGAAGAGGACACATATAGGCAGAGGTATTGGATGTGTTCCATTTTTGCATTTGAGCCTACACTTCGTCAGCGCTGCATTAACAAGATGGTGAGGAATTGATGTTTGTGTCATATGACATCTTGCATGATTTTTTTTGTTTTGTAACAATTGCATTTGTTGCAGACCCCTCCATTGCTCTGTGATTTTGAGCAGTGGATCGACACTGAGATCAAGACTGAAGACAAGAAATGGATGCAGAAACTATTGCGGTGGGAGGTAGAGGACAAGGAGATGATGGAGAAGAGACGCAGAGAGGAGGCTACAAAAAAGGAGCACAAGGAAGAGTAGAAAAGGAGGCGTGTTGCTGCGTACAGGGAGGAGAGGGAGAAGAAGCTTGAGCGTGCACGCCGAGCGAAAGCAGCAATGGAGGAGAATCCCGATACCCTGAGAAAGGGAAAGTGGCCTTGTTGCACTTAGTAGTCTCCATTACTTGCTAGTTCTATGGTTTATTCATGAACAATGTTGTCTACTTTTGAAGTTTTCATTGTGTTGTCATGTAATGCACTTTAAGTATGGGCATGCTTAGGTCATGTA